GACATCCTCTCTCAGTTAAAAAACCGAGACACCAAGATGCATCTGACTAGCAATGCAGAAATATCAAGTCGGTAACCGATCACGTTTAGCACTAATCAATCTGAATCTACTAGATTAATCACGGCCTCTCGTACTGCATGTCCTTGCTATATGATACTCCTAACCCTAGTGCAAGTGCAAACGATCAACCTGCAGACCAATTATTATCTTGCGCTTGGAAGTACACACACTGTGCATGCATGCATGCTTCTGCTCAGACACTGCATTCAAGATGTGGCGCCGAGATTCGCGTTGGTCACCGGCACGCTACCTTTGCCCATCGCATCAGCATTATTACCTCAATACACGCATGCAGGGTTGTATTACTATATACATTTGCTCGTTTGGGATTGAAGAATCTTTTGTCTGTGCTGGACTTTCGAAAGTGTATATTTGTCCATAGCTACTGATTAAGATACTAGGTGTGCTACGTGCCTGCAATTGTTTCATGTCAAATGACATCCAAGGAGCTCTAGCAAAAAAGAAAGAAATTTCGCTCAAATATGCTTTTTTTTGCCACAAGCTCCTCAAGTGTTCAAATACAAGGAAATGTACACCAGAGCATCTTGAATGCAAAAAATATTCAGATTTTTTTTTAATTTATTGTTCATCTAGAATAGATTTTTTTTGCCACGAGCTCCTCGAGTGCCCAAATACCATGAATTTTTGCACACACCTGGCACACTTGAGGATATTGGATGCCATAACAATTCAAATTATGTTCATCAAGGGCAGATTACGTGGTGGTCAAAATATGATTTTGTATGAAATTTATCCGGTTTTGAGAGTTGACGAAGGACCAAATGTCTATCAAAATATCTTAAAGGACTAAGTCTATACTTGGCTTCCTTGGCCACTAGTTCCTTGGCCACTAGGTGCTTCAGCACCAACTCCCTGCCCACTGGCTGCTTCAGCACCAACTTCCTGTCCCACGAGTTGTGCTGCATAGAGGGTGTTGCACAAACTCCGGATCTAGGAAAACAAAACATGAGTGGTGGAAATAAGAAGGTTGCCATAACCTAAATGAAAAAGCAAAGGTTGCTACATGCAAATTCAGTGAGCAAAAAACAGGGGGTGTTAATACTCCATTGGCAAAGGAAATATATAGGCGGGATGTAGCAAAATTACTCGGGTGTGTTTCCCGTAGAAAGGTTGGACAAGAGTGAGCTTAATGACTCTTCACCCCAAAGTTTCTTCATTTTCCAAGTACCAAAGCAAATTATTTTTCTGAACATACCTTTTTTTCCTACATACTTCGTGTTTTTTCACGCTTAATGACTCTTGTTTGCTTCCGTATGGCATAAGGGCATGTCCAATGCTGACCTGCAAATGGACACGACAAATGTCTGTTTTTATGTCCGACGTGGTCCGCGGACATGATGCGGGAGGTGCCATGCAATGTTATTCACAAATTAATCCGATTGGAAGGAGAGAAAGTATGTGGGGACCATGCATGTCGTGGGATATTGTGCGGTGGTGTCCGGTTAGGAGGAGAGAGAGAAGAGGGGGACCATGCATGTGGTGGGATATCATGTGGTGGTGTCTGGTTGGGAGGCGAGAGAGAAGAGGGGGACCATGCATGTGGTAGGATATTGTGCGATGGTGTCCGGTTGGAAGGAGAGAGAAGAAGGGGACCAAGCATGTGAGGAGGGGGAAAAAGAGAAGGACCATAGGGACGTTTTGTATTGGTCAAGTGCATGTCCGGACTCCCGTATAGCTCCCCCCCACTCACTTTGACTCCGGTTTACCGAAAAACCAACGTTCGGAACGTAGATAGGGGTCCCCGTTGGATGCCAAAAATTATTAAAAGTGATCCGGACAACATACATAGGAGCTTTGCAGGTCTCCTTTGAAGATGCCCTAACATGAGTTATTTCTCTTGTGAGAACACTCATAGACATGCACAATGCCCAATACTAGCTCCCCTCAAAATATTGTTACTTTTCCAAAAATGAATATGTATTTTTTTGTGAAATACCCATATATATATATATATATATATATATATATATATAATAAACATTCATCAAAAGTACAAAACACCCTAAACATAATAAAAAATCATGTCAAGGTCTTTGGACCACCGAACGACCAGTACCGTCGTCATAACGAGCCGCTGATGTGTCACTGTCACCGTTCTCATACCAGAGTCGGACAGACCTTGTCAATGACAGTCGGGACCTCTTCGTGCACGTGACCCTAAGACCAACGTTGGAGTCGTAGTCGTCATCGTTGAACCATTAAATCGATTTGAAGCACTTGACACCAGATCTCACCGTCGCGCACAGACGACAAAAAAACTCTAACCTTGCCGCCCCAAGCAACTTTCCTCTAGTACATTTATATGTCGATAGTG